AAATAAATGTAAGGTTTTTGGATTTTCCCCTTACTTTAAATGCATGCTTATGGCTCATTATTATTAATCGAAAAAAACAACAACAAAAAAAACATTAAACTTTGAACTTTTATTAACAAAATAAATAAGGATATGTTTTACTCGCGTTTAACACAAATACATAGCCTATGGATTTCCCCTCAGGCTTCCTTAAAACGTTCGTAGTTTGTGGTTTATTATCTTATTAATTAAAACACATCAGCCATAAAATAGTACAATGGCAAATTCGCATATATTAAACATCTACCTTGCATTGACAAAATGAATAAGATGGATATAGCCGTTGTAACCCAAATAAATAAGGTATTTTCCCTTATTTAAACCAATGCTTAGTTTGTGGTTCATTGTTATTTTTTTAATGAAAACCCAGCAACAAAGACACTCACTTATAGGTTATTAAACGAATAAATGAAAGTTTTATTAACAAAAGTTGCGCTTTGGATCCTCCATCATATAGTGTCAGTCTTCTCGCATCACTATTGTCACGTGACCCCCCCCCCTCACGTTTTATTTCTCAGCCCCCCCAGCTCAAAATACGTTCCCGCGGATATGCAAATATTATTAAATGAATGCCACTTTATTGGGACAAAAACCTCCCTACACCTCCGCTAACCACATAATAACACTGTATTATTAATGAGACGTTTTATTTCCAATTTTCAAATATTTACTTTCTTTTTATTGAAAATAAATGCCTTGCTGATCTGATATGTGATGGGGAAAAGGATAACAAGTTTGGCAAAGGGTGGTCTCGAACTCAGGTCGCTCGTGTCAAAATCGATCATCACACATCTTTTACTCGCTGCGCTACTGATACTACAGATAAATAGGCATCTTTTGCAGTGCTGTTTATCATAGCCAGACATTGGTGAGCGGAGTTAATGTAACTAGTCTCTGGCAACAAATTGGTCTATTTGTGCTTTCACTCCGTTTCTTTTTAGAGCTAGGAATTGAATTTTGTTTCCATAATTGAAATATGATTTTAATTTATATATTATGTTATATATTATATTACTGCAATATTTTTATTATTCAATATCTTTTAAATAATATGTACTGTATAAAGCGCTATAGAGATAAAGGTGACGTCATTTGACTTGAGCGGAAACGTGCTGTAGAGATTAAAGTACAATTTATGTCCTACTTACGATATTGTTTTTAGATACACAGCGATAGTTTGTAGTTTACAGTAACATGTATATATGTACAAAAGTGTTACATTTATAATTACTATTCCCCGCCTCCAGTTCACTCACGCGTTTGAAGATGAAACATTACATGGAGCGCGTTGCGTTCTGGGAAACAGTATCCCATGCAGTGTCTTCAGATGCATACAGCAAATTTCAGCAAATGTAGCAACCAGGTAATCCGGACATTCCATGCATACAGAACATTCACTTACTATTCACAGTATACACACAGCATACTGCAATATAGTAGGAGTTGTATGGTAGTATTCCATTCCGAACACAGCTTCTGTACTGAGTGTTCTTGAGTTATATTCAGCAGATTCTGGTAAATATAGTAGGTCATCCGGGTATTTCATGCATACAGAAAATTTGCACACTATGCACAGCATACATACTGGATACTGCAGAAATTTTAAGAGTAGTAGGATTGTATGGCATTTCGAACACAGCATGAGTGTCAAAAGTAGCGCACCGATTATTGGTGGAAGAATGCACAAATCTAATCGGAGACATCATGATTCGTACCAATCCGAATCCCCGCTTGCTGAGGGTTGTCGTAGGTCTACGCCTTCTGCAGGGTTGGCGGAAGTGTAAACCAGCGTGTGTGCAGGAAGAGAAATGGCGGACGCGGTGTCTATTTTCATGTCAATTGGCCTTAGTGAGCAGAAAGCTAAGGAAACATTGAAAAATGAAGCACTCTCATCAACACTCAAGAAGGCCATCGAACAGGTACATAATTAATTAATACGTATGGTGTGCTGTCAACCTCATCAGCCTCTAGAGAACTTACTTGACAGATTCTTTACCCGTTACATTTACAAGAAGTATTTGGAAAAGATTGGTAACATTAGTGCTGATGTTATTGTTGTGTTTTTTTTTTTCAGGCTCAAGGGCTGCTGGGGTCCGCTGGCATTGAAAAGACTGCAGGCACTCTGCTGTATAATATGGTGACACGACTCAAAGACTCCAATCGACTGTCTTTCCTCACAGAATACATCATTACACGAAAAATAACCTCAGAACTGCAGCTGTCAGGTATCTGATTGTCTTTACTCTTCTGTCACTATGTTCTTTTTTCAATGTGTTGTCTTTTTTGAATAATATGTAGAGATCAGTAAAATTAGTAAAGTTTAATTAAATTTTATGCGATTTAAGAATCACAAATATGCATGTTTTGTGCAATTCTAATAAAACTGTTAGTCTTTTTAAATGACCTTAATAATCTTTTTTTTTAACTGCAAGAAAACAAACAGCGCTGGATTGAAGTACAATAACAAAATGAAAGTGAAAGAGAAAGAAAAAAAGACTTCAATCAGTACAAAAGTAAACACAATTCAAGTACAATTAATCATAAATCATAATTAAAAAAAAACTTGTTTTATTGTTATCAGTGAGTTATTGTTAAGAGTTTAAAATTACAATAAGTGCGCCCCTCACATAAATATAAGCCAATTAAATTTAGCAGTGATTGCGATTGCGGGAAAGCGAAAACAAGACATGCAACTGGTTGACAATGACGAGATTTATTAGACTCCAGATAATCAACATAATTTGGAAAGATGAAAAGAAAACAAAAACATAAATATGAAGAGAAAACTATAGCAAAGAAGAGTAGATTGTCAGAAATAACTTAAAATGAACCCTCACGTGATGTTAGTGCTCATTAGCGGGACCCTTTATCATGAGTTCAGAGGGCTTCAATGATTTGCATTTCACCACTTGCTGACATTTTTATTTCTGATATTTTTCACAGTGGCGTTGGACTTTTTAAAAAGCCACCCTCAGGAGAATCTGGATCAACTTGAGTTTGAGGCCGCCTGTGGGGTGGGAGTGGTGGTCACACCTGAGCTCATAGAGGATGCGGTAAGGACACTTCATTCACCAAGGTTTTCTGTAGTGTGAGTACAGACTTGTAGGAGGAGATAAAATATGCCAGTCAAGATGTTCAAAAAAACTGGGCACTCCTACTTATTTTTTATAATTACTCATTTCTAGGGCTGCCCTCGACTAAAAAAATTTCTGGTCGACTAGTAGTCGTTCATTTTAAGCATTAGTCAACTAATCACACGTTTATTAATAAACCATTTAAATCATGCTAATGAGCCATTAATTGCCTACATAGCCTAATAAGCGCTCAAGCGCACGCATAAAGCTTGCCACAGCGCAGAAGTAATGATAATGAATGTTTCAGGGAAAAACAGTAAGATTAAATTTTAATATTAACATTTTAATATATTGATGAACTAGTGTTTTCTGTGTTGTCGGCTTAAGAAATGAATTCGGTGACACTGACTCGTTATCTCCACAGCAGTGGATGCGCCTGCATGCAAGTTTCATATGGATTACATAATCTGAGAATGTTTTTTTGTTTTTTTCAGATTAGAATTTTCATTTGAAAGTAGACATTTTACTCCCTATAGATATATTTTTCATGTCTGTAAGGCAAGTATACACCGAGTTTTGAGCTCAAATTCACAGAGACCGAGACGGCAGAAAGCGCATCCTGTTTGCTTTCATTATTTTACAAAAGCGCAATGTTTTGATGCTATTGTGAGTGCACGCAAATAAACGTAGAGGCTTTACAGATTCGAAAGATGTATTACTCTTATCTGTATGACCAAAATGACGGAGTATTTTAAGAGCAAGTGACCGCACCGGTGCCTCCATCTGTCATGCAGTGAGCGCGCTGCTGTTCAGACACTTGAGTAGCGCACATTTTTCTAGGTTAACATTAGATTGAGTGGCCATGTAAAGTTGCTACTACTTACATATTTCAGATGATAAGATGATATTTGGTCGATGAATGATAGGCGAGCGTTTGGATGTACTGTATTACCACAAAATCCAGCCGTCAACGATCTGTCCGTCACGAACTGCATGACCTCACCACTTCCTGTGGATTTTTTTTTCTGCGACTAATAAAATTTTGGTCGACTAAAGGTTAGTCGACTATTAGGGCAGCCCTACTAATTTCAGAATATTATTATTTTTAAGATGAAAACTGAGCAGATAGAGGATGCGGTAAGGACACTTCATTCACCAAGGTTTTCTGTGGTGTGAGTACAGACTTGTAGGAGGAAATAAAATATGTCAGTCAAGATGTTCAAAAAACTGGGCACTCCTACTTATTTTTTATTATTACTAATTTCCGAATATTATTATTTTTAAGGTGAAAACTGAGATGCTTTTAAAGAGTTCTTATGTATGCTGGACAGTTGTTGACTGCTTTTAATTCACTGTCTGCTCCAGCTCATTGGCGTTTCCCCAGAAGCTTTTTTTTTTTATCATAAGTTTAAGCTGATGAGGAGAAATACCAGGTTCATCTGAATGACATGTCTCTGTTCACATATTTATTTTTAATAATTTATTTAGTGGCAAAGCATTGAAATGGTTTCCTCTGTTTATTCAAGCAATTTTTTTCCAGCATGTTTCAAATATGCTAAAAATATACTAGACTTTCACAGTTTTCAGTTAGCACTTTATGAATTCTAATCCGTCATTGACATGTGAATAATTCCACAGGTAGAATTGATTATCAGGAAACACAAAGATCAGCTGTTGGCAGAGAGATATCGCTTTAACATGGGCATACTCATGGGTGAGGCAGCATATCATATGTGTGTGAATACAGTCATGTGTGGTGCTGCTGAGGAACAGTTTCGGTTTGTGCTCTTCAGGTGAGGCCAGGACTGCTCTCAAATGGGCTGATGGGAAGATTGTCAAGAATGAAGTGGATATGCAGGTTTGCGGGACTTGCTCTAATCAGTCCAAATCATTGTGTATTTCCGTGTGTATGTGCACTGAAATTTTCTGTTGTTTCTCAGGTGCTGCACCTTCTGGGTCCAAAAACTGAGGCAGACCTGGAGAAAAAGCCCAAGGTATATTTTTACTGTCTCTGTTTTGTTGTGCCACACACATACCCCTTTTCTACTGAAACCGTGCTGGTGAGGATCTGGTGCAAACCATGGGGTTCTGTGAACCTCTCTCATAGCTTTTTCAACATTGATGTAACTAAATAGGCAGGCTATGTTGTACCAGTCCAAAATAGATGCATCACAGTTTTTGATTGCAAGTCTTATTCCTGGTTTTAGACTTCCAAAGTAATGTAACAGTCAGTTATCAAGTACTGTACTAATATGTAGATAATGTAAATGTATGCAGTCTATCGTGGGATGTGCTTGATATTAAAAGCACATTAATCTGAAGAAAGAACTAACTACACTGTTCCTCAGGCGCTTTCTATGTACACAAACCAGTGTTCATTTTGACAGGAAATTGAGTTTTAGTTTTAGTCATAGGCTTTTGAATAAAATGCTATTTAGTTGTAGTCATATTTTAGTCATCTCGGTTGTTTTGGTTTTAGTCAGCTAAATATCATAAGATTTATATCAGAATCTAACAGATAAATTGTAATGCATTAATTAAGCATTTTTCTAAAATGTCCAAAC